TTGATCTATATCTATATATATACAGCAAATGATGATCCGATCCAACGTCTGCCCCTCTTTGTACTACAATATCTTCCAGTGAACGCCTAAACCTATGAGAGATACAAAAGTGATCTATCTGGTTCTCCGTCACTCCTTCTGGCGATACCAGGTAGCCTCGTGAATCTTCTTGTGAGAAAAAACAGAGCCTCCAATGACAAAGCTGTTGAAAGTACAGATAGTTGCTAATCACCCACCGTTCTCATTCGTTTGTCCCAAGCTATGTTGTCCCATAATTCCCTCATAACTTACGTGGTCCTGGCCAATCTTGACATTGGGGGCTCTCATGGCCTAGAGGTTAAGGTATGGCCTCTCATTCAAAGGTCCCGGGTTCGAAAAAATTTCTTCTCTAAATTTGTCTCCTTTCACCTCATTTCCTGCTCTCTAGCAATGTTCTGTCGTCTGCTTTCGTCTCCTCTTTCTGCCCCCACCCCCTCACCTCCTTTGCCCCCTCCTCTGGGCTCCTGATTCTTTCTGCATCCTTTCTACTGCTACTCCTTCGCTTCTTCTTACTGCTGTCTTCCAGCCACACTCCTGATCTTCTGGTAGGAGAGATCTACACCTAGCCTTCTCGGACAAGAGCGAAAAATCTCGGAGGGCCGTGTGCAAGTTACGCACCTTAATATTAAGATCCCTTGGTGGTCTAAAATCGATAAGAGTAGGCCTCGGCCGCCACCCGGGCAAAATTCAAAATGTCCTACCAACTGAAAATATTAGGTGTGTCCCGCGCGCTTATATGACCTTATGCAGTTGCGAGCGCCGTAAAACACTTTACATAAACAAACAAATCTTGACATTGGCATCTCCCATTATGATGTTGACGTCCTTGCTTGGTGCATGATGCAGGCTATGTTAGTACGAGCATAGTTTGTCGATGACAATCTGGAGCCGGCTGTAAAAGGCATGCTTGTCATCATCTGAAGCAGCATTTGTGTTGGCGCCTATATCTGGACAATTATTCATGTTGTTGCTCTTGCTCCTTGTAGTGAATGAAGCCATGATGATCCTTTCCCTGTGTGGTTCCCATCCTCTTAGTGACTTCCGTGCCTACTTACTCAAAATGATTCCCACTCCTTCCGCTCGGTGCTTGTCTTCCCTCTCAGAATACAATATGTGTTCCCCCGAACTGAACTGCTTTTGTCTAAACTGTATCCAGTGTGTTTCGCTGACTCCTAGTATGTGCAGCCTGTATCTGTTCATCTCATGAGATACTTGAGAACTCTTTCCTGCTTCATACATGGTGCGAACATTCCACGACGCAATCCGGAGAGACTTGTTCGACAGAGAACGTCTCAGGTCAGGAGCGTCGTTTCGGGTTTGTCCGTTGTCCTTCATTGTTCCTGCTGATGCAGAAGCTCCTCCCTCTCCCAAGGTGGAAAAATAAAAAATAATAATAATAATAATAGATAGCATTTGTATAGCGCATATCCCCGCTCAACAGCAGGCTCTATGCGCTTTACACTATATTATTACCCCAGCAGACCATAGAACACTCCGAAACATTCTCAGCTTCCCGGGAAGCATACAGTGCGAGCAGCCGATTAAGCGCTCAAACACTAACAAACTGACAAGATCTTTCGCTGTCTATAGCCGGGTACCCATTCCCACCTGGGTGAAGTGAGGAAAATTCGTGTAAAGTGCCTTTCCCAAGGACACAACGTCGGGCCCTTGACGGGATTCGAACCCACGACCTTACGGTTGCGAGTCCGAGAGCCTAACCACTAGGCCACCGACGCCACCGTGTAATATACATAGAAAACCTACAATCATAATAATATCCATAGGCCTGAAGACACAATATATGTATGTATACATTCTCCCAAAGTCCAACCCCCCCCCCCCCTCTACGCTGAGGGAGATGGAAACAGGACAAAGTAGGGGATTGCTGGGTTTGGGTGAAGTACAGTGTGGCTCTATGCCTCGGAGGCGTTACGCTGACCGTGAAGGCCCACCCGTGTCACACTGAAATGTCGCTGGCCAGCGAGACTCTGATGAAGTTACGACGGGCCTAGCAAGCCGGTAACGGATAAAAATTGCTAAAAATCAAAGAAAGGAGGAAAAGAAAAGGACAGACTCTTATATATGAAAAAAAAAGAATAGAAACGTCAAACAGACACGAGATGAAACAGTGAAAACTGGATCATGGAATATGGGTTGATTAAGAGACAAGGAACCACAAATCATTGACATAACTTAATGGATACATGCTACACAGAAGGCACCCTGTTAACAACGAGTGCGGGAAAAAATCCCCAGGAAAATAATAAAAATTGTATCGCATTCGTATCCAATCAGAATACACATGTAATTTAATAATCCGTGCACCAAACATAAATTCATCTGCATGGTTTGATATCTTTTCAATGAAACCCCTAAAAAAACCCCAAACAAACCCCCAAACAAAACGAAAACGAAAAAAAAAAATGGAATTACTTGTGAGCAACGGTTTTCCTGAATGCATCTTTGTCCCCTGAAGGTCCCCA